CATGTGACAATAGAGATGAATCTGAAATGCATTATGCTAATAAAAGAAGCCAAACTCAAAAGGGTATAAAGTATGATTCCATCTATATGACATTTTGAAAAGGTAAAACCATGGGGACAGAAAACAGATCAGTGGTTTCCAGGGATACTGGTAAGAGATTGGACAGAAAGGGGCATAAGGAAATTTCTTGTGGTGATGGTTGAGCATGGTGATTATCCAGTTGTATGCATTTGTGAAAATTCCGAACTATATACTAAAAAGGGTGATTTTACTATAAATAAATTATACCTCAATTTTAAAGACTCAAAACAATTGGACAAACTATAGTTGTACACAACATAAACGAACTCCAAAACATAATGCTAGCAAAAGAACCAAAACATAATGTTTAGGGATACATACTTAGGTAATATAAAATGAAAAGCAAGAAAGTAAATTCTGTAAAAGTTAGTATAGTGGTTAATTTTGATGAGGAGGGACAGGGCAGAGATTGGGAAGGGCACAAGGGTTGGGAGCTTCCAGTGTACCAGCATTGTTCAATTGTCCCGGTGATTACACGAGTAGTTGTTTTGTGATAATTCACTGAGCTATCATTTCATTTCATTTCATTTCATTTCATTTATTTTATTATTTTATTTTATTTACTTATTTATTTAGAGCAAGCTAGAGAGGGAGCATGAGTGGAGGAGAGCCAGAGAGAGAAGGAGAGAGAGGATTCCAAGCTGATAGCATGGAGCCCGATGCAGGGTTTGATCCCATGACGTTGGGATGCTGACCTGAGCTGAAAACAAGAGTTGGACATTTAACTGACTGAGCCACCCAGGTATCCCTATATTTTATACCCTTTAAAAAGAAAGCAAGCCAAGTAGTTCAGGGTAAATTATAGGAGAATAAAATAAGAAGATATATTTCTTAGAAGTATAAGGCTTTCCTAGATTCCTATCTTGGCTCTACCATTTGTTTGACCTTAGGCAGGTTTCTTAACCTTTCTCAGCCTCAGTTTACTCATCTACAAAATGAAAAAATGCCTCATGAAGTTATCATGTGGATTAAAAAGAGATTAATATAAATACGCCTCAGGATATCTACCTAGCTCCCAAGACCCTTTTTGGGGGTTCATCTTGTAAACATGAGGTGGTCTCCTAAGCAGCCACGATTTTGTGTTGTATGATCCCACTACTGCCCACCTCGACCCAGGGTGGATATCTGACCCATGCTGGGCTAATCATGAAGCCCTCTGGAGAGCTTAGAATTGGAAATGAGCAACTATATTCTCTGTTTGGGCATTATCATCAACAGAAGACATACAAATCTCCACAGCAGTGGTGTACACATATTTTATCCCCTACGTGGCCAGAGCAGAAGAGAAAGAAAAGACTAAAACAATGGGGAGATGGAGAGAGTGCTGCCTGTGTTTCTGACTGATATCTGGTTCCTGTTTCCACTCCCTTCTGGGGGTCAGTCCTTAGGTTCCATAAAACACAGAATATCTGTATAACAAATGTCCTTAAAAAAAATGTAGCTCAGGTTGGATTCTATTATTACAACTCAACAGTCCTAGCTAATGTGATCATATAAAGCATGAAGCACATAGAAAGGGCTTAAAATATGATGACTATGGCAGCAACTGTCTGAACTTTGATCTATGTGAGGTGGGGACTTCCTTAACAAGCCCTTGGAAGAAGCCTACTCTGGTATTCAAAACACAGACTGACCTTGAGGAGGCTGTATCTTACCCTTCTGTTGGAGGTCTGTAAGGAATCTGTAAGAAAACAGTCCTGTCTCAAATTTCCTGCTAAGCCCAAAAAAATTTCAATTGCTGAAGATTGCTTCAAAAAAGAAAGAAATTCTAGTATAACAGGATAAAATTACAACAAAATAGCATTCACAAATAGAATCAAGTGCCTAAATTTAAAGCCTAAAGCAGAAGTCAGACTAGGTGAGTTTTCATCTAACTAACCAGGATAAAAGATGAGCATTTGCAATTAATATTGTCCTGGATTCCATTTTTTCTTGGTCAATGCCTACTGAATTTAGAACTTCTATGTTTTGTAACACTAAAACATGTCTATCTTTTGACATCCACAAGCTGGAGACTATTTTCCCTATACAGTGAGGACACAAAACTGGTATTCTGAGCTAACACGGACTTATTACTAGATTCTAAAAAGTCCAACTCTTTCAGGAGGGCAGGCTATTGTCTCCATACTCATCAAAAGTCAACCTGTGTATACTCAGATGAAGCAGTTTAGAATCAAGTTACATAAGCCATACTTAATGCAGTCAGTCCTTATTTTATATCATTTTTTTACAAATAATTTAATCACATAATTACTAAGACACAAGCAGAAACAAGGTGTTGTTACTAACTTTATCATTATACTCAATATCTATTTCAAAAGACACATAACAATAATTTCATATAGCTACAACAGCCAATTTTATGTACTAAGATTCTCCATTATAGCTCTTTACTCTAGTATACTTATATGCAAAATATGAAATATGAATCAATTCTGTTATTTCCCAGCATGTAGAAAGTAATAACTTAAAAGCATAACTGCTAATTTTAATAACTAACAGTGACTATATTGATATTTTTAACCTAAGATCTGAAAAAATACATACACATCCTAACCCATAATTTCCTTAATAAAATATTTTTTGTGATATCTAACCTCTCATGAATATACTCTTCTCTAAACAAATATCTGATTGCCATTCATATTTATATAAATACTACCTACATGCAATGAGATAATATTTGTAGCATCCATTTCAAAATTCCTGACGCATGTTGGAAATTTAATTCTCCTAATTGGGTAACATATACCAATTATCATGAAACCATTTGTACATAATATTCAAAATAAAATTTATTTATAAACACTAGAGGGTGCTGTAATTCAACAATGCCCGGTGCCTGGCTTTGAGGCTCAAAATTTTCTCCTCGATTAAAGATAAATTAAGATAATTTTCAGCACCAACAATTTCTGCTCTTGAACTAATACACAAAGATAATTTATGAGCCAAAATTCCATTCCTCCAAAACATATAATGAGACTTAGTAGATTCCACTGAAATTTTTTATTGTATACTTATTGCATATTTAATATTGTGTTAAGTGGAGAAAATAGAAAATTAGTAAAGGAAAAAGTATAAAGATGGTCCTTGCCTTTAGAATGAATTAATGCAATGTTCAGATGGTTAAGAGAAGGTGTATCTTATAATTTCATAGGCTTAAATTCAAGGAAAATTACAAAATGAATTTGGTAAAAGACATTTCAATTTTAGTTGCTAAGTGTTAAGATATAATTTAGCTGTTTTACAAAAGTAATGTGAAATTTAGTATTTCAAATAAGTAGGGGCACCTGGGTGGCTCAGTCAGTTAAATATCCAACTCTTGATTTCAGCTCAGGTCATGATCTCACAGTTCGTGAGTTCAAGCCCTCCATCAGGCTCTGTGCTGACAGTACAAAGTCTACCTGGGATTCTCTCCCTCTCTCTAAATAAACATTAAAAAAATAAAATAACAAATAAAAATGCTGTAGAATATGATCTGATCTCTTAAAAAATATTTTTAAGCCAATAAGCTATAGGAAATTGGAAAAGACCTAAGGCTTTGAATATCCAAAATAGGAAATAATTAACAATAATATCAATTTTAAATCTTCAAACATTCATTTTGTAATTTTTAAACTTATTCCTAAAACATTCATAAGCTCAATTACAAGTCTTTGAAATTTTCAAAGTTGAGAGTAATTTATGTTGCCAGTTAGCAATCCAGAAAAGTTCTCAGAAGTATAAGTTTCCAATAGACAGCATTAGACAATCACAAATAACAAAGTTAAATGCCTAGTAAAATATATCATCTATATATTTCAAGAAATGGTTATTAACTGAGACACTATTTAATCCTAACAAAGCATTTTTCCTTTGAAAATGTGTACAGGGGAAAAAAATGAAACGTTATAAATATTTCTAAAGTTCACATACCCCAAGTCAACCCATTTCTCTCAATCTCTCTCTCCGGTCTGTGCACTCACACACACATACACATGCACCTACACGTGTGTGCAGGCATGTATACTCACCGCACACTCACATACCATCTACTCCCCAAGAGAGGGTGTATATCCCTCTCTCTCTCATTCCTTTCCCTAATGAATTGCCAAGAGCCCCCAAATAAATCCAAAACCGTGGCACCTGTTGATGAGACAGTCCCTCCAAATTTACAATAGCTCCAGATAAACTGTTTCAGATTAACATAATGTAACACTAGAGAAAAACCAGAGATACCACTGAACCAGGCTCACAAACCACCCAGACTCTAGGAATCAAAATACATGGCAGAGAGAGAAGTAGCCTTACTGCTGGAGCCCAAAGAAATTCTGAACATGGAAATGATTATTTAAAGTTTGTATTTGGCTCCTATGTTCTTTTGGTGCGAGCTTCCCCTTTTTATGTTTATCTGCCTTGTACCTGCCGGATTCCTTGGGCCCTTATTACACCCAGCTGCCAACTTTCCTATTCAGTGTCACATCATGTAACAAACACTTTCTATTGCAACAGGTGAAAGCATACACACTCATTAGAGTAGTAATGTTTGAAAAGTTCACATACCTGCCCTTTCATGAAGGTTTTTTGAAACCTTTTTTATGCACACCTCCACTAATGAAAAGTAATGGCTCTAAGAAAGTCAGTTACGAGGAAAGTTTTAGTCCTTTTGAGCCAGTCTCAAATTGCTACTATGAACATTGTATTTTGGAGCTAACGACATAATCCTAATCATGATCTTAGCTTCTCCCTAATATTGATAGCTTTTGCTCATAAGCCTGAAAACTATAGGGCCTACATAAAGTGAAGAATGGGTAGAAATGTGTAGTTTATTTACAAACACCAACTTTCATTTCTTACTACTATGGAACATCATGTTACATAAAGATTTATGAGTTGTAAGACTAGTATATTCTAATAAAATAATAATTCAAGATGAATACCTGTTTTCCATGTTTCCTAAATCTGGTTGCAGACGAATAGTCTCTGTTGTAATTTCCACTTTCCGCACACTTCCAAAAAAATCAGTTATCAGGACATTTTTAGGATCCCTTTGAAAAAGATCAGTGCGATGTCCAGGGGTAGATACACATAGACTTTTGGGACAGACCTGAAACTGAAAAAGATATATGTAACAATAAATACACACATATACATACAGCATTTATTAAATCAGTAACACAGTATAGTAGACTGTTCTGTATTTTTAAAGCTCTCCCAACCTGAAGAAGCTACTGATTCTAAAGATTAAAGTTTCATTGCTATGGTAGTACATGACATTCTAAGAAAGCTATACAGACATTAGAACAAGTAATAAAAAGGGAAGCTGGCTAGGGAGGGAAAAAAACATTCAGTTTTTTTAAATCATATGCTACCAACTATATTTTGGACATTAAATTTACTGAGAACTCACATGTAACACTACAAGAAACATTGTGGGTTTTTTGCAACTACATTCGTCTCAGTGGGGTGCTCTACCAGAATGTTTTATTTTATTATTATTATTATTTTTCTTTTAGAGAGAGAGAAAGTGCAGTGAGGGAGGGGGGGTGGGGAGAAAGAATCTTAAGCAGGCTCCATGCTCAGCTCGTAGACCAACATGTGGCTTGATTCCATGACCCTGGGATCATGATTTGAGCCAAAATCAAGAGTCAGACGCTCAACTGAGTAAGCCATCCAGGAGCCCCCAGAATGGTCTTTCAAACATTTTATAATCATGATGCTTCATGTAAAATTTTTTTTTTTCAACATTTATTTATTTTTGGGACAGAGAGAGACAGAGCATGAACGGGGGAGGGGCAGAGAGAGAGGGAGACACAGAATTTGAAACAGGCTTCAGGCTCCGAGCCATCAGCCCAGAGCCTGACGCGGGGCTCGAACTCATGGACCGCGAGATGGTGACCTGGCTGAAGTCGGACGCTTAACCGACTGCGCCACCCAGGCGCCCCATGATGCTTCATTTCAAAAACAAAACAAAACTTTAAATTCAAATAAAATATTACACAGTAGCCCAAAATATAAAAGATGAAAGCAGAGCTGCTCTGGAAGTCAGGAAGTTGAAGTACAGGCACCCCTCTCCCCCCAACTAGAGAGGCCCTTTGTTCTCCTGCTGTGTATAAATTGTATAAATTAAGTAACTTTCTTAGTTTATCCATAATGAAAATAAACTCAAGGCACATCCAGACACTCTACTGCTCCAAAGAATAAAGCCTGAAAACCATGACTTCATCTCTACATTGATCTCACAATAATTTCTATGTTAACCTTACCCCTGATATTCCAGATCAGTGAATTACCAAGGATAGACATGTAGTCATTCATTCACTCAGCAAAGGATAAAAAATGTCTACTACATATATTTCATACTGTTATCTTCCAAAAAGGATACAGAAGTTGATAGACATGGTCCTATCCTCAAGCCTTTAAGCCACATCAGAGATGAATAAACATAACAAGGTAGAAAAAAAGGTGACAGATTCTGCTTCAGAAAAGGATAAACTTTTTATAGGTTGAGGATAAGAAAAAAGAGGGAGTGGGATTTAAGCTATTTTCTGAAGGGAAAGGTAGATTATAGATGGGAAATAGCATTCTTTTGTGGGAGTGGTGACACAAACAGATGGAGGCACAAGTGGGGAGGGAGGAAGCCAGGACTTTCCTGTGGTGGACGGAGTGTGGTGAGACTGATCCTGACAGCCACAAACACATAGGCCAGCCGACCTGTGACAGTACATATGTGCAGTCGCATGCTGAAGGGAGCCCTTAGGTCCTCAGGCCAGGGACACTAGAGCCTGGCTACTTGGTTTTTGTGCCGGCGTGTGACTCCTGCCAACACCAGCCTGCCATTTGCAACCCTGCCATTCCCGTGAGAGGGTGTACCATTCCTAGAGGTACTACAGTACCAGGTCAATGAGTGCAGTGGATGGGGCAAGCTCTTGTTCCACCTCCCTGCTCCAAAAATCCATTTAATATACTGTCCTCAGATAGAAGATATAGTAGATACTAAACTGCTAAAAACAAATATTACACTCCATCTTAGCTAAAAGGCTGAGAAACAATGGGAAATAACTCTCTTACTAAAGGAGTGGCTGCAAAAATGTGTAGGGCAAATAACCTAGTTGGGCAGGAGCACAGGACATATGAAGAAAACCATGACAGGCCTGCTGGTAAGGGCCTAGGGCCTACAGCATTTGCCCACTTGTGGAGACAAGACCACATGCAAAGGTAATCGCCAATATGATGGGATATGGGTGGGGAAGGGCAGAGCAGCTAGAATTCAAGCTAGAATTTAATTACTGTGCTAAGTAACTCGTAGATATTCTCATTTAAGCCCAACAATAACTTTGAGGTATATCAAAATTATTATCTCTACTTTAAACTACTAAAAGATTAAGTAATTTGCCTAACATCACAATGCCTTCCTGGTTCAGGAAAGCAGGAAAAGGAAATACAAAGAGATCAGGACATAAATTAAGAAGCAGTGAAGGCAAAAAGGGTGGGGAAAGTAAAATGCCAAACAGATTTTACAAGAAAGTAAAATGCCAAACAGGAAGGATGATACAGATGAAAGGTTGCAGAAACAAAGTAAAAGATAAAACAAAATAAACAAAGATAAGATTGAAGTCCTATGTACACTGAAGGCATTCCTGTATGAGCAACTTGGTGGGCTTTATTAAGTACCAGCAGAAGAAAGCAGGAAAAGCACAGTGGAATGAGCTTGGGGAACAAGATAAAAAGTAGTATCTTCTTTGCTGCTAAAATCATTGTACTTCACTTTCTTTGAGGTTATTCCTTCCTTCAAGAAAATTTTATCATATCATTCTGGTTTCCTTAGCCTTACCAACATTCACTTTTCATAATCTCCTTCACTTACAGAATCTCCACACTCTAACCAGATTATATAACTGTCAAAGACAAGGATGATGACATATTCCAACTTTTGTGCCTCTGCATGTATTCCATTTTCCTGGAATATGCTATACTTCTCTGCTTCCAAACCTGAAAGTCTCTCTCTTCCAAGAAAAATTTTAATGACCAATCCCACTGGATTTAAAGGAATCATACAAATGTGCATTGTTGTCGTATCTTTTCATTCACTCAGAATATTCACTGAAAATCTATAAATATACTAGGTACTATAATTAAGTTCTGGGGGTAATAAGATACATAAAGCATGGTTCTTATACTGCTTATTTAAGAAGCTGAAAGCCTCGAGGGAACGTCACAAATATAAACAATTACAGAGAAATATTAAAAGCAAAAGTGTCTTAAAGGTACATAGCAAGAGTTAGATGTTCACAGAGGAGAGAAGATTACCTGGAGGATCCAGAGACTTGAGATAATAGGCGATACTCTATAAATGTGCTTTGCAACAGTTACCAATGACACTATAAATTTTTAGGGGCTAAGCACAATGTCTTCTAATTTTGCTGCTCCTGAAGCACCTGATATAGTACACTCTGAGTACGGCTGATACCCAACACATTTAATCCAACAGAATTGGTATTAGTTCACAACATCTGGAGACATGCCAATTCACTATAATATTTAACTTCAAGGAAATGGATCATTCTTACTGAACAAGATTAAAATAATCATTCAATTAAAAAAATGGAAGTGGAAAACAAGATATTAGTGAGGAATGTTTATTAAAAACTACACACACAAAAAAAATAAAAAAATAAAAACCACACAGCAACTGTGGGCAAAAACAAAACAGGAGTTTCTTCAGTCTTTCCTGTATGATTTCAATGGAAGAAGTTATTATTTTTTAATTTTTTTCCAATGTTTATTTATTTTAGAGAGACAGAGTATTTTTTTTTAAATCCATTAGACGTCTATCTGAAGTGTAAAGTGCATATATGGTAAACTTTTGAGACACTGTGTCACATATTAAATAAAATATACAATGTATAATTAAAAAATGGGAATAAACTTGGGGCACCTGGGTGGCTCAGTCGGTTGAGCACCCGACTTTGGCTCAGGTCACGATCTCGCAGTTTGTGAGTTCGAGCCCTGCGTCGGACTCTGTGTTGACAGCTCAGAGCCTGGAGCCTGCTTCACATTCTGTGTCTCCTCCTCTCTCTGCCCCTTCCATGCTCATGCTATGTGTCTCTCTGTCTCTCAATAATAAATAAACATTAAGAAAAAAAAACCTTTAGGGGCGCCTGGGTGGCGCAGTCGGTTAAGCGTCCGACTTCAGCCAGGTCACGATCTTGCGGTCCGTGAGTTCGAGCCCCGCGTCGGGCTCTGGGCTGTTGGCTCAGAGCCTGGAGCCTGTTTCCGATTCTGTGTCTCCCTCTCTCTCTGCCCCTCCCCCGTTCATGCTCTGTCTCTCTCTGTCCCAAAAATAAATAAACGTTGGAAAAAAAAAAAAAAAAACCTTTTTTAAATAAAAAATTTTTTTAAAAAAGGGAATAAACTTAACCACTATAGTAACTGGAATTTAGGTGACTATAGTTTTCTTATAAAGTAGCATTATAACAAGATTTAATTTGCAAATTCATATTAAGATATAACAGGCATCAAAATATATAACCTTCAAAACGTAAGAAATAGTTCTATGTTATCAAAAATGATAGCTCACAACAGTGGTTTTCAGAATTTTGCAGAACTTTTTTTTATCTTAGAGAGAGTGCGCATGAGTGGGAGAGAGGGGCAGAGGAAGAAACAGAGAGAGACAATCTTAAGCAGGCTCCATACTCAGTGCAGAGCCTGACGTGGGCTTGATCCCATGACCTTGCGATCATGACAGGAGCCTAAATCAAGAGTCAGATGCTCAACAACTGAGCCACCCAGGAGCCCAGAACTTCTTTAATTAAAATAAAATTATCTAAATGGTAAGCCCCATCTACTTGGCTTCCCCTTCATTCTCCCTGCTCCACAAAGGCAGGGACAGTGTCTGCCTCTTTCACTAGGATATAGCCAGTGGCTGGCACTTAGCCAAAACTCAAAAAAATGTTTGTGAATACAAGAACAAGTTATAAATTAATGAAAAAATAAGAGCAAAAGTCATTGATGCACAGTAATTATCCAGGCTAGAATTGTTTCAAGCTTTTTCTTTTGCTTACTTTCAAGAGCAACTTCAGAGTAGATCTAATTTAAGGGCACAATCAGTAGAGAAAAGTCAAGAAAAAAGATTGAACTAAATTCAAGAAGCCACATCAAAACACTGTACTAGAAGTTGTAGGGTGGACACAAATATGTAAGAGAAAATCCCTTTTCTCCAACATCTTATTACACTCAGTAAGTTCAGAAAAAGGCAGACTATGATAAGTGGTACAAAAGAGAAATAAATCTCTGAAAAACTTTATTTATCTTACTTAAATCCAACAGGGAAGAATTATGGGGCTATTTCCTGAAGGAGGTAGGATCTGATTTGACTCCCAAAGAATAGACAGAATTTGAATAAGTGAATCTACAAAAAGTACATTTCTGGTAGAGAAAAGAGCATGAGAAAATGAATGAAAACAAGAAAGCACCTCAAGGAATTTAGTTGACTTTAGTTGGACTAAAGCTTGAGGCCTCCTGTAGTAAAGACAGAGATATTACTGTAAAGGGAAATTCAAAACCATTTAAAAGGCTACCATTCAACATATGAAACAGTACCCCAGGAGTACGGGGAGTAAAGGACTTCACTTACTGCATTAAGCAGACCTATGTGCTATAATCAAATCAAGCAAATACTTACAAGGTCATTCATATTAGTTTGACTAGCTGGATTAATTTCTTCCAAAAATTCCAAGACATAAAATGTATATCTATCCATAAGGTGGACTCCAATTGCAGGATCAGGTTGATGCTATGAAAAAGCAAAGCATATACAACGGCATATTAAGCCATAAAAAAAATGAAATCTCGCCATTTATGGCAACATGGATGGATCTTAAGGGCATTATACTAAATGAAATATGTCAGAGAAAGACAAATACCATATGATCTCACTTATACATGTAATCCAAAAACAACGACTAGAACAAAAACCAACCTTATAGATACAGAGAACAGATTGGCGGTTGCCAGATGAGAGGTGGGGGTAAGACCAAATGGGTGAAGGGAGCCAAAAGGACAAACTGCAGTTATAAATTTAATAAGACATGAGATGTAATGTACAGCATGGTGACTATCGTTAATAATACTGTATTGCATATTTAAAAGTTGCTAAGAAAGTAAATCTTACAAGTTCTCATCACAAGGAAAAAAAATTCTGTATGTATGGTGATATGTTTTTTTTGTTTTTTTGTTTTTTGTTTTGGTATTGTGACATATGTTAACCAGACTCATTGTAGTGATTACAATATATACAAATATTAAATCATTATATTGTACACCTGAAACTAACATAATATTGTATGTCAATTATACTGCAATAATTTGTTTCAAGCAAAGCAGAAGAAAGAAGTATATGTCTAATCTCATCATTTTAAGAAAATGTTTTAAATGCAACAAAAATTTCCTTCTAAGGTGTTAAAAAGTCTGAGACTAAAAAAAACCCAGATATATTCATAAAGCATACAAGTGATTTCCAAAATAGCAACATATTCCAAAGACAATGCAGTTCACAAATGGGAAGAATGCACCTACCGAGAGCGAATCTTCTCCCACTTGGCTACTAGCTAAGGCCATTATGTTAGGAGAATAAAATCGTTCGTACATGGATGCTCCTTGACAAGTATCAATAATAAAGAGCAGCTCATTGTAGCTGAAAGAAAAGTGGTAATATCTTTGACATGAATCATGCTGTTAATAATAGAGTAATATTTTTATAATACTTGCATAAGATGTTGAAGTCTTGAAATCATATCTTAGTCATTTCATTAAAAATTTGAGAGTTTTCAGAATTCCCAGTACAAATTTGATATTAGAAATATCAAAGCTATAATCCTGTCCAGGGAAACTACCTCAACAGGGAGTAGTGGTTGTACCACAAAGTGGCTGCCTCAACTCTTTCCCCCTCCCTTATCTTGAATCCAAATGAATATTCAATTCAAAAACCAGTTATTTGGCACCCATGCTGTCCTAGAAAACGAGTCCAGGTTCAGGAAAAAATAAAAATATATGACTTAGTATACTCAAAAAGCTTAAAATCTAACTGGAAGAGAAACATATGAACATATAACTAAAGGGAATGTGGTAAGAGTTACAAATAGCTATTAGAGCCTACAGTAGGCCTCACACTAAGCTGGGGATACAGCAGTCCCATAGAGCTTCATAGAGCTTCATAGAGCTTCCCTGCCTTCAGAGAGCTTCAAGTCTAGCAAAATTAAATGCTCTAAGAGCATAGAGAAAGGAAGAGAGGGAACTATAAAGAAAGGCAGGTCAGGGAAAGGTGATGTCTGTCATGGGCAAGGAAGGGTGAATTATTTTAACTAAAAAAGAAAGGAACAGCACATCCCAGGAGAGGAAAAAAGCTGTACTATGGCACCTAAATTTGAAAAAGTGTAATTATTTGGGAAAAGGAGAATAGCACTATGTAGTTAACATTTACAATAAATTTGGGAAGATGGAGAAAATTAGTTTCAAAAATGCAGGGTAAGGTCAATCTATATTTTAAAATGTATTGCCTAGCTGGTGAAGGTAGGGAGCAGATAGAAACTTTTTTCAGAAGTTTTTCAGACACTGGATCTAGGTAAACAGCTAACATTGCACCTAGAAAAGAAAACAAGGAATCTTGCACCATAATATCTAAGCATGTGACAAAAGGAACAATTCATATGGCATATTTGTTCTGAGACAAAATCTGAGGAGGCCCCTGAAGATCAGAAACATCTAAGGTTACGAGGGGCAGTATACTAGAACAATTCAGAGAGTCAGCCCTATGACTGGACTTTGGAATGAATTCTAGTGCTGGACTGACTACTTGTGTAAAGTCTAGCATGTTACTTAATCTCTTTGTGCCTCAATTTACTCACGTGTGAAAACAGGAATAATAATAGTATCTACCTCATGGAGTTATCATTAAAATTAAATGAGACAGTACATATAAAACACAGTGCTTAGTACCTAGTATATATCCAATAAATGTAAGCTATGAATAAGATAAAACTAGTACCTAGCAAAAGTTTCCTCTTCAACACCTCCGTTCATTCTTCTTATGCATATAATTCAATATTTACATTTAACATGTAGCACAGTTGTGTACATACACTAGATTTTAAACACTCTGAAGGCAGAGTAAGCATCACATTCCTGTCTGTGCCATGTGTTTAGAAGGTAACCCAGAAGTTTTTATTGAAGATAATCAAGTTGAAAGCACTTCTGCTGCTTTCTATTCTCTTACTTTCATTGACAACTTTAAACTGGGGGGTGGGGGCGGGGTGCTTACCATGGATTTCTAACAACATATCATCCTTAATGTGAGTTGTTACAAATATTATATTAATTGTAATTTCAGCATTTTTTTCCAAAGAAGAAATAATGTACTGCTCTCATGTGGAGGGTCAGAGAATGTACAAAAAAGTAACAACAGGCTGAAGCTGGAAAATAAATATATGTTCACAAACCCTGTGCATAATGGGGAACTTGATTGTGGGACTCTTATTTCCTCCAAAAACAATGCTAAATATAACAGACAGCTGATCTTAAAAGGTTAACTTTTTTTTTGATACTCTTTAATGACACTGAGGTTTCTTTTGAAAATAATTCAGTTCAGTAGAATAACAAACATAAATCTAAGAGTAGAAGAGACTATTAAAATAATTAAAATCTCATAAAGTAAGATCTACAAATCCACTAACCATGGAAAAATTAGGTATTAATTTATCTTATGAAAAGTAATCATCTGCTACTTACCGTCTTTTTTGCCACATTTGCTCAAAAGCATCTGCAAGTTCTATGTTGGTAATTTCTTCAGAATCTTGAAATTTCAAGAAACCATTTCCACCATGTCCTTGTAGGAAGAGTTAAAAAGATCAAATATATGCATTTTTTTTTAAAATACAAACTGCATACATCCAGATACAAGCATTTACTTCACTCATGGCAGTATTTTAATAGCATTTGTTATTTTACACTCTAAAATTAAAAGTACTGTGAAAATGAAAAATTTAATTTTCTATTATACCAATTAAAAACAGAATAATGATACACTGAGCAAAAAAAATAGATCTAATATCTTTTAAAGTTCTCATCATTTTACCATATAAAAGCACATTTATACTTTTGCACTGGCTTCATTATTATGTCAGAAGTGAGTTTCATAAAAAAATTTCTCAAACACCAGGCAAATACTGTGGTGAGAAAGAGGTTGCAAACACTAGCTGGTGCCATAGTACGCTAGTTCTATTCACGGTGTATACCGGGAATGCTATTACTACCAGGAAGTGTCATTCCCACATAAAAACCAAAGTGTTTACTGCCATCAACCACTGTCCCATGAGAGCTGACCAGAAGATTGTGACCTTTAGAATACAGGGATAGAGCCAGTCTGTCTGGATTCAAATGCTAGCTTTGCCACTTAATGACTGTGTTAACTTGGGCAAATAACTTAAATCTTTCTATGTCTCTGTTTCTTTTGCTGTAAAGTAAGAAACATATCAGCACCATCATTAGCATGCCTATAAAGCTCCTTTGTGCAGCTTTTTAAAAGGTACTTCCCACAGGCCATCAAAGTAGAAAAACCTGTCTACGTCAATGGCCCCTCAGAACACACTGCAGTCCTGTGAGCTCAAACTGGACCAAAACTAAATCAGAATTTTAGGAAAGACCTGAGTATTTGCATTCAAATAATCTTCATACACACTAAAATTTGAGACTCCATCAACAGGAAACCATTGTAAAGTTTCACACAAAGGAAGGACAGATTTGCTATTTTAATTAAATACTTTAGTAGGATGATTAACAGGAGACAAAACTGAAGACAAAGCTATAGCCAGGATCCTAAGTAAAAGGTAGTAAGTTTTTACCAGGGTAATAGTAAAAAAATAAATAAATAAATAAATAAATAAATAAATAAATAAATAAATAAAGATCATAAACTGAGGGACAGTATATCATACTGTTTCCAAATATCATTTCAAGTTGTCCTATGAGAAAAGAGAACTACAAAACAAATGTTTAAATTTCTTTCCATGAAGATTCCTTCTTGAGAAGAGTTACAATATATTCTCTTACTAAATATTTAAATTCTGAAATTACCAGTCATATAAATAAGAATATTGCTCCTATCATCAGAAAGAAGACGTTTTGACCGAGGAGTACTAGGTGGGATCCTGCCAGTTAATACCCGTAAAAAATTCTCCACAGTCACCTGAAAAAA